TCAAATAGGATCATCATCAGGAGGGAAATGTATCCCAATACAAGCAGATCTATCATCAAAATTAGCATGTGATAACTTAGCAAACGGAATTGCTAATATTGAGGATGGTAAACTTGATATTCTAGTCAATAATTCTGCTGTCTTTACACATGCTCCCCTAACAAATATACTTGAAAGTTCGTGGGATGCAGTTTGGAAAGTAAATGTTGTTAGTGTATTCTATTTAACTATAGCGTAGGTTATTATTGATCGTTTATTTATTACTGTTGTTATCTTGAAATTGAAATATAATGCTATTTTCTTTGTCTAATAAATAGATGTTTACCATTACTCCAAAAAGCTAGTAATGCTCCACAACATCCTTCCAAAGTTATTATTATTGGCAGTGCAGCTGGCAAGTTCTATATTCTGTGTGGATAAATGACAATGCACATTATAATTTTAATAAAGTATTGTTCACTTTACATGATAGGCATGGGCGAAGGTAATTTGGAAAGTTTGGTTGCTGCTCAAAAGGATACTGCTTTACCATATAATGTATCTAAATGGGCATTAAACGGTCTTTCAAGAAATTTGGCTGCTTATCTCACGTGAGTATTAGCAGCAATAATAATAATTAAATAATAACATTAATTTCATTGTAAATAAAAATTAAACAAATTTTGATTTTGATTATAGTCCACATGGTGTTAACGTAAACTTAATTGCTCCAGGTTTAGTCCCGACTAAAATGACAGAAACCTATCATCAAAGTTCTGTTTCAAGAAAATATAGAATGGGCAATGAAGTGGATCTAGGTGCTGCTGCTTTATATTTAGCATCTGATGCTGGTAGCTGGATATCAGGTGCTGAACTTAGAATTGATGGTGGTGCTTCTTTACGAGGAAAAAATTTTGACAAAAAATTAGCTCGAGAATCAACAAAATCAAAACTTTAGATTCCATTCATCATCACATAGATATTATAGATTATAGATTTATTTATTTTTATTTATTTGTCTCACGTGAAATTTTGTGCAAATCTTTAAATTGTGTATATACCGTGTTGTGTTTTAATAATAAATAAAATTAAATCCTTTTTGCTTCAGAGAAAAAATGGTAAAACAAACAAAACTAGGGTAAAACTCACTTATATATTTATCTGTATATTTAAATAAGCAAAGTATTACATATATATCTCTTCAACATAACAATATAAATTCTATCAAATTAGCGCGTTTTTTGGAAAAGCACAAGATGGGCATCAAAAAAGAACCCAAAGTTCAAATGAAGAATTATCGGTGGTTAATAAAAGAATAAAAGTTGAGCAAAATCAAGACATGGATGTTGATGACGAAAAGGTAAAAGAGGAAGAGGGAGTGGATAAGGAAAGAAAAGAATCAGAATTAGAAGAGGAAAAGGACAAAGGAAAAATAGATAAAGCAAAAAAAAGAATAGAGAATGAATCAGCAAAAGAAGAAATAAAAGAACCAGAGCCAGAAGCAGAAGAAGAAACAGAAGAGGAAAAGGCAGAAGAGGAAGAAGCAGAAGAGGAAGAAGCAGAAGAGGAAGAAGCAGAAGAGGAAGAGCAAAAAGAAAAAATCGAAACAAAAAAAAGGCTTATTGAATTGTAAGTAACCATATGGTATCATGTGAAAAACTTTTTTCTTCTTATGTCAGTTTGGAATTTTTTACTGCCATTTACAAAGGAGTTGTCAATTAATGAACTATTACAAGAAGGCAATTAAATAATAAATCAATTTTAGGAAAGACTTGGGTGTGAACTGGAAGAAAGGAGATCCGTAAGATATTGTTAAGATTATCAATCACATTGAATTATAATTAATAATATATAGCTTGCTGAATCTTTAACATTATTCTAAAATGAACACATAATATTAGTGTGCCTTATTCTGTATTATGCAAAACTTTTGAAATGGTTGAATCAACTACCAAACGTCTAGAAAAACAAGATTATTTGGTTACTCTCTTTGCGCTTATTATTGAAAATACTCCAGAAAATTTGTTAGACTCATTATATTTGTGTATCAATCGAGTAAGTTATTTATAATGACTCATTACTCGCTAATGGTAAATCTTTTTTTGATTCTTACTATAAATTTTTTATTAAAAAAAAAAAAGGTGGGTCCAGATTATGAAAATGTTGAATTAGGTATTGGTGAATCTTTATTAATTAAAGTAATTGCAGATACTACTGGTAGAAAAACTCAAGCAATCAAAGAAGAGTTGGCAAAATGGGGTGACTTAGGAAAAGTGGCAAAGGTTAATAATAATTGATAATAATAATTAAATTAAATCAGTTGTATATTTAAACTCTTAAATTTAAATTTTATACATTCTCTATGGTTTTAGGATAGTAAAAGTACTCAACCAACATTGTATGCTCCAAAACCATTAACTATTCCATCAGTCTTAAAATCTATGAAAAAGATTGCACATATGAATGGGCAAGATGTAATTATTTATTATTATGGTTATTCTAATTTATTACCAAATTAATATCCATTGCTTTCTGTTTAGTCGCAAGAAAGAAAAGTTCGAGAAATCAGACAATTGCTTGCTTCTTGCCAAGGTGAAGAATCCAAATATTTAATCAGGTCTCTTGAAGGAAAACTTAGGATTGGATTAGCAGCACAAACCATTTTAATTTCACTAGCACAAGCAATTGTTTATAAGGATCCAGGTTAATTAATAAATAATATATTGCTCTGCAATTACATTATTGTTGACATTATTTTCTTTGAATATTAATGTTATCTATTTATTAGGATATGAAAAATTACCTACACCTACCAAAATTCAATTATTAGCAGATGCCCCAATCATTGTTAAAGCTGTTTATAGGTTTATATATATATTATTTTTATAAAATTATCAACATATCAACTTAATTACTTTTAAAAAACTTTTTTTTTGTAAAAAGTGAAATTCCATCTTATGATATTATGGTCCCAATCTTGCTAAAACATGGGATACAAGGACTTGAAGAGCATTGTAAATTGACACCAGGTATATAAATATATAGATTTATACACATGCATATATATATATATATATATATATATATTGAAATTGCAAAATGCCATGTTAGTTTTTATTAAAACTTTTTTATAATAATAAAAAAGGAATTCCACTTAAACCTATGTTGGCATTTCCAACTAAAAGTATAACAGAAGTACTTGATCGTGTTGAAGGACATAAGTTTACTTGTGAATTTAAATATGATGGTGAACGTGCTCAGGTTAGTAATTTAATAATAATAGTAGCAATAATAATTACAATCATTGTCTTTAACTTTTTTACATATATAGATAGATAAAAATCATATTATATTATATCTAATTTAGCATGTTATTTTGATATAATAGATTCATAAATTGGATGATGGTTCTGCAAAAATTTATAGTAGAAATTTGGAAGACAATTCTGTGAAATTTCCTGATATAATTGAGAAATTGTCTAAGGTAATTTCAATTGCTTATATTACTATTATTGTATTAGGTCATTATTATAAAATTTTTTTTAACAATTTTCTTTAATATCTGTTGCAGTTTGTAAAACATGGTATAAAATCTTTTATACTTGATTGTGAAGTTGTTGCATGGGATCTAGAAAAAGATTGTCTTCTTCCTTTTCAAGTGTTAAGTACAAGGAAAAGAAAAGATGTTAAAGGATCAGACATAAAAGTCAAAGTTTGTTTGTTTGCATTTGACCTATTATATCTAAATGGAGAGGTATGACTAATTTTATTATTATCAGATTTATAATAGTAATGATTAGATTCAATTTTTCTCAAATATAAATTCATATTACCATTGTAAACAGTCACTTCTCAAGAAACCATTAATTGAAAGGCGTGAACTATTGTATAATTCTTTTCAAGAAATCAAAGGAGAATTTGCCTTTGCACATGAAATTATTGCAACTAACACTGAGGAAATCCAATCATTTCTTGATGAGAGTGTTAAAAATAATTGTGAAGGTTTGATGATAAAAATTTATGAAGGATCTGAATCATCTTATGAACCTTCTAAACGGTCAAGGAATTGGTTAAAAGTAATATATACATATATAGATATAGATGTATATAATATTTATTTAGATTTTTAATAATTATTATTGTTATTGTTATTATTGTATTAGCTTAAAAAAGACTATATTACAGGAACAGGAGATTCTTTGGACCTTGTGGTTATTGGTGCAGATTATGGAAGAGGAAAACGTACCAATTTTTATGGAACTTTTCTTCTTGCATGCTTTGATCCAGATAATGAAGAGTACCAAACAATTTGTAAGCTTGGTACAGGATTTTCTGATGCAGATTTAGAAACTCATTACAAATTCCTTAAGGAACATGAAATTGAAGGAGCTAAAAGTTATTATAATTATGATAAAGCAACTAAACCTGATGTTTGGTTTGAACCTTGTCAAGTCTGGGAAATAAAAGCAGCAGATATTAGTAAATCTCCTATATATAAAGCTGCAATAGGACAAGTAAAGTTATACACTTTTTTTCTTATTATAATATCATCTAAAAATAATTATTAAGATTATATATTTTGATGTTTTAGGCTGATCCATCTAAAGGTGTTTCATTACGTTTTCCACGTTTTGTTAGAATAAGAACTGATAAGAAACCTGAAGAAGCAACTACTAATGATCAAGTAAAATATTTTAATATTCATTATATATAATAAGAAGACATATATATATATGTTAACTATTATTATTATTATTATTTATAAATTAGGTGGCTGATATGTATAATTCCCAATTTAATAATGGTGCTGAATAACAAAACGAAAAATCATTTTTTTTATATTAAATATATTTTAATTATGTGTTGTGTGACACCAAATTAATAATAATAATCAATAATAATTAATAGTTAAATTAAGAATAAAGACGTTTTTCATATCTAATATCAACAGGATATTAAAAAACTAATGATTAGAATTGACTAAAAAAAAAACAAATAAAAAAGGATAATAATAATAATACTCACGTATATAATCCATGTACACCACCTTCGACTTGAGCAGCCATGGTTCTTAATTCAAATCTAACTTTACCAGATTTAACATTCTCTCTTAATTGTGTTAAACTCTTAACACCAATATCCTGCAAACCATGCTGTAGACCCGTTACCAGATAAGGTAAAAATTTCCTAATACTTCCTTTATCAACTACTGAACCTGTTACACCCTGTGCAACTTTAATTACATCTCTTTCAGAATAATATCTTTTTGTTGATGCATTGTCAACTTTATCAATGTCATCACCACCAACAATACTAACACCACCACTACTATTACTTTTACTTGTAGTGATACTACCATTATTATTGCTGTTACTAGCACTATTATTAATAATAGTGCTACTGACAGTGTTAATGTTGATTACACGTTCCATAGCATCCAATGATCCCATACCACGATATTTTTTTAATCTTTGGCCATCATGATAATAATAATCACCAGGTGATTCTGTGGTACCAGCAAGCAATCCACCCATCATTACAGCAGATGCACCCAATGCTAAGGCTTTTGTAATGTGACCCACGTTTTGTATACCTCCATCAGCAATAACTGGGATACCAAATCTATTTGAAAATTCTGCTACATTATAAACAGCTGTACCCTGTGGACGACCTACAGCCATAACTTAATAGTAATAAAAATTTGTTATTATTATTGTCATTGTTATTATTATTGCAATTATCATTATTGTTGTTGTTGCTATAGCTAATAATTGATTATATATTGTGAAATCAAATATTAACAACAACAACAACAACAACACAACAACAATTTTTTTGTACATACTAACTTTCTTGTGTAATACATATACTACCACTTCCCATTCCAACACGTAATGCATCAGCACCAGCTTCAATTAAATTTGCAGCCTGTTCTCTGGTAACAACATTACCAGCAATAATTTCCAATGAATCATTGTAAGTTTGTTTAATATATTTGATCATCTCAACTTGAAAAATGGAATTGCCTTGACTTGAATCCAACACAACAATATCTAGACCAGCCCCAACCAACTTGTGTAATCTTGTTTTATCCTCATGACGTGTCCCAATGGATGCAGCACATATCAATTGTTTGGAGTGAGCAGATTTAGAGGCCAATGGAAAATTAATATTTTTCAATAGATCAGATCTGGCTAGCAAAGAAACTAATTCACCACGAGAATTGACAATTGGTAATTTTCCTTTTTTACTAGATCGAAGTATTTGATTTGCCTCTTCAAGAGTTACTCCTTCATGTGCCACTACAAGATCAGTTGACATCACTTCTCGAAGTAATGTGGTGTGATCTTCATGGAATTGAATATCACGAGCAGTAACAATACCAAGTAATATATTATATAATTTTCCATTAGCTAGATAAATTTTTTTAAAAATATTAATAATCATTTTAAAGATAAAAATCAAAATTTTTTAATAAAAAATAAATACAAAAAAAAAAAAATAATAATCATATTTACTAGTAATTGGAATGCCACTGTAACCGAATTGAGCTTTAATCCTATGTACATCAGCCACTGTATGATTTGGAGTTAAACATACTGGATCTGTTATGAAGCCATTTTCAAATTTTTTCACTTTTCTAACCATTTCAGCTTGTTCATCAGACGAACAATTATGATGGATCACGCCAACCCCACCTAATAACTAATCAATTAAAAAAAAAGTCATTTATACAAAAATTGAGAGTAAAAAACAAATATCTGTTAAATTTTAATAAACTAAAAATTAAAACTGACAGCCATATTTATAGCCATATTAGTCTCAGTGACTGTATCCATCGGTGAACTCATAAAAGGAGTCTTTAAGGTGATGTTTCTTGTAATCTTTGTTTCTAAAGTTACTTCAGAAGACAAGAAATCAATGTATCCTGGTAGAATAAGAAAATCATTATAAGTTAAGCCTCCATGTTTATGTGAATCTATAAGATTTTTGGCTGATAAGCCGTCAGAATTTTTATATTCTGATAAATAATTTAAAGCTTTTTTTGGATCAAGATATTTTTCCATTTTTAATTTCTTGTATATTAAATTTTAAAATTTTTTATTTAAATTGTAAAGATGATTGGCAATCAATTTTTTTTTATATACAGACAAACCTCGTTATAGCGAACGTAACCTAATTGAATACGTGTTATAACGAATTTTAATATTATATACAGTGCGGGTCATCTATACTCAAAATTTGAAATATTATGTGATCCACATGTAAGATTTTAAAAACCACCACCATTCAGTTCAGCTTTAAAAAGGGTGTCAATTCATGTAAAAAATCCGTCTCAAGTTTTTTTCTAAAGTTGAGAGTTATGCTCAGAAATGCAATAAATAATTTTCGTGTTACGACATTTTGAATTACATGACCAAATTCGATAATGATTTCCTTTTGTTGTAAATATATAATAAGAACTTTTATCATTAATAAAAAAAGGAAATAATAAATCAATCAATATATTTTGTAAAGAAAGAGTATTCTAATGAAAAAATTATTTTAGTTACACAAAGTTTGCTTTGTATAACAAAATTTGGAATTTTCAAAATGTTAAGGTTCTGCCAATTCAGAAAACCTAGCCGATAGGTTTTGAAGCTTGAGTCACGAACAATAAAATTTATCGATTAACTTTTTAAAATGTTATGAAACTTTTTTGATTTAGTATTTTGAAGCTACCAGTTGTTACTATAAGCAATTAATTGATTATTATCATAATAAAACCGTTATTATTATAACGTGACTATATTAGTACTAGTACTAGTAGATTCGTTATAACGGATTTTAAATGTCTGAAACCCGTTACAACGAGGGTCGTTATTACGAGATTTAATTATCACGTATTTATATTAAAAAATTTTTAAATAAAAAAATATAAGATGCATTATTGAAATTCGAGATGTGCGATTTTTTTTTTAAAGAAACTTTACAATCAATATTAATATTACATTGAAAATTTTATTATTGCGAGGCAAACAAAATATTGATCTATAAGTTTCAATTTATCAAAAAAAAAAAAAGTCTATCAACTTGCAACTTTTTAAAATATTTAAAGAACGCTTTATTAAAAATCACGCTTGATAGAAATTATTCTAGAAAAGGAGTACAAAAAATTCCTTCGAATGTTCTTGAATTCATGGATGCAATAAGTATTCTTAGTGGATACATTAAAAATAAAATTTACCCATTTATTATTTTAATTTAATAATAATTATGTTATCTATTAGGCGTTAGAAATGGGCAATGAGCATAGCATTTGTAGATTAAAAGTTCAATTAAATGAAACTTCTGAAAAATTTACTCCAGCTATTCGTGGGTCAGTTACATTAACAAAGTTTTACCAACGCCAAAAGGTTTACTTTTTTAGTATCGCGTCCAAAAATTCTAGCCGACTACTAGTTGGTCAAAAATTTCTTTAGTCAACTAAATTTTTTTTTTATAATAATAACTTTTTTTTTAATTTGCAAATTACGAATTCATTTCCATTTGAATCTTTCACTTTTTCAAAATACTTACACACAAACCATGTGTTACGATTCGTTTTTTTAAAGGTCTTCTGGAACCACCGCTTAAATCATTGGAACTCGAAGCCAATGAACTGTTGGACCTTGTATTGGAAGTGTTTATTCATTCACATGTAAAATTATCATCGACAACACACTACTATTGTCGTCATCATCATATTGATGGTATTAATACCCTTCCGCATAGAAATTTTCCGTTCTGAATGATAAAACACAAAATTGTAATTGATCAGACAATAATAATATTAGCATAGTATTAGTATTAGTATTAGTATTAGTATTAGTATTAGTATTAGTATTAGTAGTCGACTAATTAGTCGACTGTTTTAGTCGATTCCAACCTCTAGAAAAATTAATTCAAAAAATAAAAAAATTTAAGTTTTAATTTTAGCAATATTAGCAATTGCTTACCAACATTTGGAATATATTCTGGTGTGAAAAGCGAATTGCTAGGGTTTTAGGTCCTTTACAATTAATGTCAACGGAAAAGAAAGGAACTCTAACCAAAAATCCAGCAGAAAAAATTAATATGTTGGCAGGTAAAACAAAAATCAAAACAGATGAAAAATGATTTATTTGTAATGATGTTGGCAAAGTAAGTAAGAACAAAAACAAATACTTCATATTGGAAAGGCTTATTTTGATAATGAATTTTTTAATGATTTAGACGTTTTGGCCAATTCAAGTTCTACAAGGTAGCCCCTTAATTAAACAATTAATAAATAGTATTAAAAGAAATAACAAGCAATCAAATAAGAAAATTAAAAAATGTATTTTATTATTATTGAGATCAATTAAATTAATTGATTATTAATGTGTGTATATTATATTTATAATTATTGGTAAAGTAATTTAGATGTTGCACTTGATTATAAATTGTTAATGAAAAAAAATGAAGCATCAACATATTATATAAAAATTTAAATGGTTTGTGAACAAGAAATTTTGTTTTTTTAAATCACCTTCATTTAAAAGGAAATTTTATTAATTTTTCCATGTGTATATAAAAAATAAAAAGCAATAACAAATTTTTTAATTTCTTTTTCAATATAATATAATTATCATGATAAAAAAAATCGACAAAATTTAAAACAAGACTATATGATTCTCTGTCATCCTAAGCAAAATTTTCTTGATTTCATTACTAACATCAGGTGTATTTGAATAAATTTCTAATGTAGCTTGTGATGCTACATTGAATTTTGCCGATCTCCGATCTTTACTTTTGCAAGACACCCATGTTTTATCAAGATAATTGAGTTTACAATTCCATAATCTATCTTCATCAATTTCCCAATGATAATATGGTCGTCTTTGATTTTTTTGAGACCTGGTTCGATAATAAAGTAAATTGAGGAATGAAATAGGATTCATTCTTTTAAAAATTGTTTCATCAATACTATCAGAGACAACGGCATCCTTTTCTCCATCAGGAATATCAGCATCACCTAAATCAACAATCACTCTTTTTTCTTCTTTGCTAAGAGATTTTGAAGGTTCAGTAGTATCAACATCCATAATCTCCTGAGATTGAATGGGCAGAGTATTGGAAGCAACAGGTTCTGGAGGATCAATATCCATTGTTACTTGGGATTTTGGTTTTCTCCCACGTTTATTTGGAGTGGGTGGAGTAGTGGTGGTGGTAGTTGTAGCAACAAGTTTTGAAGATTCAACGGTGTCAACATCCATTGTCGCCTGGGACTTTGATTTTCTTTTGTTTGGAGTGGATGGAGCAGTAGTGGTGGTAGTTGTAGCAACAAGCTTTGAAGATCCAACAGTATCAACATCCATCGTTACCTGGGATTTGGAGATTCTTTTGTTTGGAGTGGATGAAGTAGTGGTGGTGGTAGTTGTAGCAACAAGTTTTCTTTCGTTTGGAGTGGGTGGAGCAGTTGTAGTTGTTGCTGCAGCAACAAGTTTTCTTTTGTTTTGAGTGGATGGAGCAGTGGTGGTGGCGGTTGTAGCGACAAGTTTTGAAGATCCAACGGTATCAACATCTATCGTCATCTGGGATTTGGGTTTTTTTTCATTTGGAGTGGATTGATCAGTAGTGGTGGTAGTTGTGGCAACAGATTTTCTTTTTTTTGGAGTGGATGGATCAGTAGTGGTGGTAGTTGTGGTAACAGGCTTTCTTTTGTTTGGAGTGGATGGTTCAGTAGTTGTGGCAACAAGCTTTCTTTTGTTTTGAGTGGATGGATCAGTAGTGGTGGTAGTTGTAGCAACAGGTTTTCTTTTGGTTGTAGTGGATGGAGTAGTAGTGGTGGTAGTTGTAGCAACAGGTTTTCTTTTGGTTGTAGTGGATGGAGCAGTAGTGGTGGTAGTTGTAGCAACAGGTTTTCTTTTGGTTGTAGTGGATGGAGCAGTAGTGGTGGTAGTTGTAGCAACAAGCTTTGAAGATCCAACGGTATCAACATCCCTCGTCACCTGGGATTTTGGTTGTTTTTTATTTGGAGTAGTAGTGGTTGTGGCAACAAGTTTTGAAGATCCAACGGCATCAACATCCCTCGTCACCTGGGATTTTGGGGTTTTTTTATTTGGAGTAGTAGTGGTAGTAGTTGTAGCAACAAGTTTTGAAGATCCAACAGTATCAACATCTAAAGTCACCTGGGATTTTGGTTTTCTTTTTTGTGTTGGAGTGGTAATTGGAGTTGCAGGAGTAGTTGTTTTATTAGTAGTGTTGCTATTAGCAGACTTACTTGTACTTGCGGAAGAAGATGTTTTGAGTCTGTTTCTGGTTCTAGAAGCAATCGAATCTGTAGTGCTGTCAACACCATTTGGTTGAGATGCTTTTGCAATACGCGGCATTTTGTAAAAAACGCGTAAAATTAGATTAAAGTGAAAGTTGAGTACAAGTTTTGTTTAAATTAGTGAAATTTGATTGACACAGGATATCTTCAAAATTATTTATCCAAAATTATTTGTCTATTGAGATCTACCAATTAAAATAATAATAATAAAACCAAGTCACGTGAAAGACAATGAAAAAGTATTCAGAGTTTTTGAATATTAGAAAAATTACACTGGCTGTGAACATAGTAGCCGCATGCTTTGCATGCTTCTGTATAGTTAACAATTGATAGCAGCCAATTCGTAGTTGTATTTAGATATGTAATTATACTGTCTGAAGTATTGCAGACTTTTCTCGTGAGTTCAAACAAATCCAACTCATTTATATTTGATAATTAATTAAGACTTGATTGTAGTAAAAATTTTTTTAAAAAACTTTTGCTTTTAAAATGTTATTTTGTGCAATATATTTATTTCAAGTCAAGTTAACGGTCCTGCCTGTTATGTATTAGTGTAATTTGCATGTCGCGTATTAGTATATATATTTTTTGTTTGGGAAGATCAAAAAACCTAAATCCAAAATGGTTAACTGGGTTTAGTGTAACAATAATTTAATTGCATACTCGATGAGTTTATAAAAAAATTTACTTGCCTTAAATCATATGTTGATATATTCCTGAAAAAATGATAATAATAAAATTCGTCATAAAATTATTTATTTCTACAATATTTTGCTGTAATTTTATAAATGGATATTCCAAATTATCTGATGAAGGAGTTAAGTTATTTGGAAATTTGTCAGATTCAGAAAGTTCAAAAGTTATGAATTATTTAAATGATATATTAATTCCAAGAGTACCCGGGACACAGAATAACACAAAGGTAAAAGAATACATAACATCCAATTTTCTAAAACTTAATTGGACAATAGAAGAAGATAAATTTACAGACATTACACCAATTGGAGAAATAACATTTAATAATGTTATAGTGACAAAAAATATTAATGCGGCAAAAAGATTGGTATTAGCCGCACATTATGACAGTAAATATTTTTTACCACCTAACGATCAATTTGTTGGTGCCACTGATTCTGCTTTACCCTGCGCTCTTCTAATCGACTTGGCTAATAGATTTGATGTACATTTGAAAAGTAATGATTTAACACTTCAAATAATTTTCTTTGATGGAGAAGAAGCATTCGATACATGGACATCAACTGATTCATTATATGGTTCAAGGTAATTAAAAATTAAAATTAATTTAGATGATTCAGATCCTTCATAAATTTTTATCATCAAACCTTCACAATTATTTTTAACACTCTCATCAAGAAATGATT